GTAAGTTGAAGAAAAAATGTGTTGTCATTTGAAAAAAAAAAAAACAAAAGTTGAATATCATTTTCAACTGGTACTTATTTCAATTCGATTTCAATTTAAAATTTAAATTCATTCATTGTAAAATTGGGATTTATAAATGATCATAGCAAGATTATTTGTTCAATGATCTATTATAAATGATTATTTTTAGACGCACACAAGAAATTTTTCACAAAAGTTTCATCAAATTTCCCTGAAATTTCCATCAATATCTTTTTAAATTAAAAATTGTCAAGGATGAAAAATTAAAAAAAAAAAACATCGCTACCTTATGCCGTATGCAATTAAAATATTTTATTAGCATTAGGACTATATTTACTGATTTTGCTGATAAGATAAGAATAAAAATGCTGAATTTTTAATCAGTGCATTTTTAGCCAAATAGTAAGAGAAATTATACAAAAATTTCAGCTTCAAAATTTATAAAAAATAATTTTAAAAAAATATTTAATGGATAAAAAAATGAAAATAAATAAAAGGTTAAATTTTTTTTAAATGAAGTCCTTAACAATATCATATTTAGAATTTAATGCTTCCCTAAATAATTTTTATAACTTCGGAAATTATCAATGAAATGATATTTGCTAAGACTATTAATAATGTCTAATTATTTGATGGAATTTTTCATTTAATATTACTTAAAATATTTGAATTAGTAATTTTTAAAATTACCATATGAAAAAGGAATTTTGTATAGTAGTATTCATTAATTCTTTTTTCATCCTAATTTTTTTAACTTTGTTAGCTTTGAGAATGCATATAAACTTTACTCACAAATTTTTTTTTTTTTTTTTTTTTATAAAACTGACTTTATACAATTCATTTTTAAAAAAAAAATTATTTAAGCAATTTTAAAGAAAAGTAAAAAAAAGAAAACATACAAATTTATCCGACATATACCATCTTAGCCAATAATATATATTTATCAATCCGTAAAATTACGTATATTTTATTGTTTCGTCCTTTACATTTACCAAGGAAAAAGAGTGAAAGATAGATGAGAAGTAGAAAGTGAAAGAGGTGACAAATATTTTATGGAAGATGAAAATCAGTCATATGTAAACAAATCATAAACAAGTTTTCATTATTGATAAAATTCAAATAATTGTTATTGAATGCTAATGATGCAAATATTGTTTTATGATTTATGTATGATATTATTAAGGAAGAAAAAGTTTTTTTCTCATTAAATTGTTATTTCATTTCTAGTATTTCAGTTATTTCTGATTCACAGTTAATATTTTTGTTATAATAAATTATTTATGTAACTATTATAGATTTTTTTTTTAAAATGCATTGATTTTATTCCACGGTTTCATTTTTTTTCCTATATTTTTAATTTCTATATTTATGTTTATCAATTATGGTTGTGTTATACTAAAGTAAATCTTTTCTCTTTTCAATCAATTTTTATTGTTTGAGTAAAAAAGAAGTAGCATTAGCATTATTCTTAATTAAATTTTATTTAATTGAAGTTGTTTCAACATTGTAAAATTAGCAAATTAAATAAATTCGAAAGATAAATATTTTCAAATTTTGATGAAATCGATAAATTGTTATAGCAGCTTAATTGCTATAACGATTATAATTATTATAAATAACTGATATTTACTATCAATTAAAGTTGTCTCATTATTAGCATCTACAAACTCATATTACTTGCACAATAACAAGAAAGAAAAGTAGAAAATTGCAAAAAATTCCCAATTTCAAATGTAAAAATGAAAAAAAAAATCAGGATTACTAGTTTTGGAATAGAATAAATTTGAATTAAAATAATAGAATAATTGTTAAAATGAATCTACCACAATTTTTAAACTATTATATAGCCATTTGAATTATTCATGCACTTGGTAATATCCCAAAAAAAAAGGAAAAGCTTGCGGTAGTAATCTTTAAAGTATTTCATTCAATCTTACCAATAAATTTTTTCGCTAACAATAAATGAAAATCATAATTTAGTTTTCTAGGTATTCATACTTAAACTATACTAAAAATTTTTTGCGATTTTGATTAAAGCTTTTAAAATGTTCATTTTGAGTTTTACACTTTGTACTTTCCAATTTAAAACATTTAACTATCACAATAAATAATTATATACAACCTCATAATAACAAGTAGAACTTCATTATAGCAATTTTCCAGGTTTAAATGATAATTTCTTATCAATTTTTATTTTAAAACTAAATATTAGATCTTGAAAAAAAACTTAAGCAAAATTTTTGAAGAAATAAAATAGATTTTTTTAAACAAAAATTAATTAGGAGATGCTACTATAGTAATTTAATATATTAGAAGATGGGAAAAAATTAAAATTTGTGTGATTAAAAAGAAATAGTGTTGTATATTAAAAGCTTATTGATATTATTCATGAAAAATTTTTTTAAAATATCACAAAGATACTACTCATTTCATTTAAAATTATAATTGCTTTATTCATTATTTATTTTTCATTTATAGTAATAATAGTAATAAAATAAATTGGACTTCTTTTTTTTATTCATAAATATAATGTCTAAGTATATACAAATGAAAATTTTTAACATTTATTTTATTTTTTTATTTAAAAGAAAAAATGAAGAAAAAAGACTAATAATTTTGTTATGAATCCACAATTTGTTTTAATCGTATGTTATTAAGAAAAAGAAAGAGAAAATCCATTCTTTTGTTCAACTTTAATTTTCTAATTGTCATTATTTCATTGTTTATTTCAAAACAAAACAAAAAAAAATCGATTAATTCTGATAATGCTTTTTGCAAATATTAATCAAATTTTAATATGCATCATTTTTAATATTATGATAACATATATTGCTGATAATGATAGAATTGATGATAGTGATAATGGTGATAATGATAATAATGATGATAAATATTACTGAAGGGATAAAATGTAAGCGATTGTCAAATAATAGCAAACAAATAATTTATAAACACCAAAAAATGAGAATAACATTCAATCATTGATTGATTTCAATGTAATGAATTTATTCAATCAATAAATGATTTTAATGTGATAAAGTTATAGCGAAAAATGGAACAAAGATGAAAAAAAAGAACAATAACATGATAGCAACATGCAATTATTATTATTTATCGACAAAAAAAGAAGGGGGAAAAGCTCAAAGATCAGAATTTAAATCACAACTTGACCCGAAAAGGTCAAAGAGCAAAGTGGAAGCATAACATCATCATAAAAGCCAGAAAATGTATGCTATAAGGAGAAATTTTGTTCTTTGGTTTAATATTTGTTGTAGGAATGTAAACAAAATTGTGATTATTGATTAATTTTAGAGTATTTTGGATTAACAAATAATTACGATAATATTTTATGAAAATATCAAATTTGCAAGTGATGATATCTCTTGTATCATTTCTTTTTCTTTTTTTTTAAAAAAAAAATTAAAGACATTGTCATAATTTTAATGATCTATTATGATATGATCTAATCGTCTTTATAATAAGTTAAATTGATTAATTCTAGCTAAATCATTTCATAATAGCTTAAATATTTATTTTTAATGTTAAAATAAAGTTATAGATAGGAAAAAATAATTAAAATTAAATGAAATCGCTTTGGTGAGTGTAAAAATATTCATCATTAAGCATAAATCAGTAACTTAGCTCATTTGTTAAAATATAAAATAAATTCAATTAATTTTATAAATTGCAAGTGCGTGAAAATAAGTAAATGCATTTATAAATGATGAAAATACATAAACATATATATTTTCATGCCTTAAATATGAATTTTAAATATATAAAATAAGACAGAATTAATTTATTTAAAATGATTTCGTCGTCAAATAGCAATATCAAATGACATAATAATTAATTGTAAGATTTCAATTTAAAATAAAAGAAAATTAAACAAATAAAAAAAAAAAAGAAAATCGAAAATGAGCGTCTTTTAATTTCGATAAAATTAAACAAATTGATTTTGGGTTAAAATGAAAAAATTGAATTACAGCAATTTTGCAGGTTAAGAAAGAGCAACAAGTATTTTAATGATTGATTAACGAGAATAAATTACAACAACTTGAACTTTTCTTTTCTTTTATTTTTATTTTATTTTCATTTCATGTTCTTTGGACATTTTTTGGTTTCTTTTTTTTTTTTTTTCATTTCTACACAAAATTTTGCAAGAATAATTAAAATGTTTAAATAACCCAAATATCAATATATTATCTAATTTCAATATTATTCAAAAAAAGAAGAAATATAATATATTTTCAGAGGTAATTGTTGATATATTCGTGTATTTTCTCGAAAATATATTTTGCTAATCGAATATTTTATGTGTTTCTAATTTATTAATCTTTTCATCAATATATTAATGCTTATTTAATTTTTTTTTTCATATTTTATTTTTAATTTATTTTAAGGTCACAGAAAAAAAAAAAAAAGCAATTTTTGTTTAATAGGAATTATACATGGATTATGTAACAATAATGAATGTGATAATTAAGAATAGGAAAGCATATTAAAATAAAGTGGATAACGCAAAAGAGATAAATTAAAATTTCACTTTAAATTTTTTTTTTAAAAAAGAAACATTTAATTGTTTAAATCATAAAGTTAAAATTATGGATCCAAAATAAATTTAATTCTATCATCATTTAATAATTGAATTGGTAATGTAAATATGACATATCGATTTTCCAATGATTGTTGAATAGCAATTGCAAGTTCTTGTCGTTGTGATTGTGTCAATACATTTAGTATATCAATTGTAAGAGTTGCAATTTCATGAAATGATTTAAAATTATTCTGAAAATTATTAAAAATTAAATTTCAGTTTTTTTGAATTTTTATCAAAAAAAAGAGGAAAATGAACGTTTTTAAATTTATTAAATAAAATAAGAACAAATATTTATTTTGCAATTTTTTTATGCCAAAAAAAAAAAAAAAAAAAAAAAAAAACTTTGTAATTATAAAAAAGAATTGAAAAAAAAAAAATGTTAAAAGAAAAATACTTTATTAACACATGTTGCAATCTCTTTTGCTTCACATCGTAATGCTAATGTATTCTCTGCAAGTGTATAAAAATATTTTCCTTTAATATAAGTTGCTTTTGCAATATTAATATCATTGACAATAAATGCTGGATAAGGCCAAAAGCTGGTGGTTATAATAAGTCCCTCAGGTATAACACCGATCGAATGAAATGCTTCCATTACCTGTAATAGAACTTAATTTTGATTCAAAAGACAATCATTTACTTTGCTATAATTTACTAGTAATTTTATTTTTATTATTATTATTCTTATATCTTTGTCATTGTCATTATTATTATTGTTATTATTGATATCTTTTATAATAATAATAATAGTATGAAAAAATGCTTTGCATTAAAGTAATATTTAGTTTTATATTTTCATTTAATATTTCTATTGCATACAATAATTTCAATAATTCGTCATAGTTTAAATTTCTAAATTTCTATATATTTTGTATATTTCGTTTCTAATAAATTTTTTTTTCTTTTTGACCTAATTATTGCACTGAATTTATTAGTTTCCAAAAAATTAATAGAGAAAAATTTTGTTTATTAATTAATTAGTAAATTGAGAGGATTGCTTATAAAATATTTAATTTTATTAAAAAAAAAAAGTTAAATTTATATATGTATTAGAAAGAATACGAAAATTTTATTAGAATAGAAGAGTTGAGAGTTTTTAATCAAACTTTCTTACTGCTTCACGTAGTTGACGTTTGACGTATACATCAGCTTCAGTGAAATTTGCATGTTGTCCAGGGATACGTGGTACATAGGCAGTATTCCTGAAGAAAATGAAAAAAATTATAAATGAATTAAGCTCATTTAATAAAACTTTTTTTACAACAATCACTATGCTATTGTAATTTAGAAAAAGATATTAGTCGTAATTAAAATTTTTTATGTAATTAAAGAAAAAAAAATATTGCATTCATTGAAAAATTTTTGAAATTTTTGCTCATTTATTCAAAATTACATACATTTTTTTTTTAATTATTATTACTATACAGCAATTATTATGTGATAAATTATTTACAATTAAATAAATCACGATAAATTATTATAATTTGGAGTTGAAAGAAATCAGGAAAACATTCAGGAAATACTTTATACTAAAAGTGATAATGTTTTTTTTTTTTTTGAAATTTTATTAGAAAACAACAACAAACTCTTCACAATCACAAAAGCAATTATAAGTCCAAGTGAATGGTGGTCGAAATACCAAACGGTAGACCATTACTGAACCTCCCACTCCTTTAAAATTTAAATTTTTAAATTTTAAAGAATAAGAAAATATATGGTTTATTTCATATACTATTTCACTTCATTTCAAATTTAAGTTTATTTTAATTTAAAGCTAAATTTAATATTCTTCATGGTTTTTTGACATAATTTAAACTACTTTTATTTATTAATTAATATATATGTTTATAAAAGTTTTTTGTGATTAATTTTGTACAATAAACAATCTCACTTACTTTGTGATATTTGTTGATTGTATGGAAAATTTCCAATTTGTTGTTGTTGATTTAAACATGGTTGAGGGTACGGTAATGGATATAATGGAAATAAATTGTACGGTTGATTTGATTGAATTGAATATGGTTGTGAACATTGTTGAAAATAATTCACAAAAGATGATTGTTGATCATTTAATGGATTAAACTGATTAATATTTATGCATGTAGCATACGGTGGCATATGATTTAGTACATCGATGACAAAAATACAAATTAAAAGTTGAAATATTTGAAAAATTTCCATTGAAATACTACTGTTATCAGTGATTTGTATGTGATTGAATTTGTGCAATTAATGTTTTACCTAAAAAGAATGAAAAAATAAATATTGTAAAATTTACAAAATTTCATTATCAATTTTAATAGTTATTCGATTGTGAGTGAAATAATTTTCAATTTTAAGTTCAATCAAAATTTATTCTAAAAAAAAAGCAAAAAACAGAGCTATGATAGCATAAATTTGATTTTTAACCTTTTAAAACTTTAAAATTCTGAACACTGCAAGAAATTCTATTTTTCAAAATCTTTTTTTTAAAAAAAAAAATTAAATACATAAAATAAAAATTTATCACCAAATTTCTACTCACAGACATTTTCAGATAAAAATTTAAAATTAATGAAAAGATTAATAACTGATATAATCAAATTTTGATTAGAAAAAAAGTGGTTTAGTGTTAAAATCTATATTCATGAATACTTCGAGAGTGCAATATCGATTAGATGTAATGTCAAATTTTTAATTTCACTATAAATTTTTGAAGAAATAAAAACTGTTCAAAGAAAAAGTTATTTGAAACAAAATTTCGAATTAAAAAGGAAAATTTGAATATAACCTAGAGGAAACATTTCGTTCTAATCAAAATATTATATGAATATGATGTGCTCTGTTTTTTTTTTTTTTCAGAAATTTAATTTTTTTAATTTTTTTTTAATTTATTTTTTTTTTAATTTTTAGAAATAATTTCAAATATTTTCAGTTTTACCTATCTGCAAATGTATTTTTTTCTCTTACCAGATAAAAAAAAGAAACTGAAATTACTGATTAAAAAAAGCACAAACTGCGCAATAAATACAAGTGCGCCTGATTATTATTAAGCAAATTCAATTCTTTATCGAATAAATTTACTAAATATCACAATAAATTTTTAATTAAATTAGCTAAAATGATTAAATCAATCATAATAATTATGGGAAATAAAGAAAATAAAAGAAAAAAATTAAATGCAAATGTATCATATGTATTATAAATGGGAAAATTAATTTTTTAAGTTGATATAAAATGGAAAATTTGATACTAAAGTTTTGTAATTAGTATGAAAATTTAAATTTTAAGTATGATTTTGATTTAAATTTATAAAATCACCGAGATCATATGGATATCATTTTATGAAATGAGATGAGTAAACATCCAAATTTATACATACAATAGAAGTAGAAATTAAATAAATTTGATCATAAGGAAGTAATTATTCAAATGCATTATAATTGTTATGTATTTTTTCAATTGAATTTGAGAAAAATGTAATAACATTTTTATTAAATATTAGGGTAAGCTATTCATTGCTGAATCTATTATAGTTTATGCCTTAAATATAAATATATTTTTTAATTTATACTTATTTACCATCTAAAGCTTTATGACAAACAAAAAAAAAATTTGCAACAAATTTCACATTTTATATAAACTATTTTAGTAATTTGTTATAAAAAGCAAAAATAAATTATGTTTTAATTTTTTATATTTACAATTCAAAATGATTGCTAAATAATTTATACATTCAATTTATATTTATTACTTATTTACCTTATATTTAAAAATGTCTTGTTTTTTCTTTTTTCACGCTGTCACTGTTATCAATTAATTATTTCAATTGTAACAAACGAATTTTCCTTAGAGAATTAATTTTTAGTGAATTTTTTTATGAGCATAAGTTGATTTTTATTAGAAGTTGGATTAAAATTTGACGAAAACTCTTTCCACACTAAATAATTGAAATAATTAGTGATTATTTCTGATAATATTATCAGGAAAATTTATCAAACTTAACAAATGATAACAGATGTATTTAGTTTAGGTGTAGTAAAATAAAATAAAGTGCGGCATTTTTTTCCAAAATAAAAATAATAAATTGATTTTTTTTCCTTTTAAAATTGCAGAACAAATATTGAAAACATTTAAAAAACGACTGAAAATTTTCGAAAATAATTTATTATTTGCTGAAATTTACATAGTGATTGATGTATTTGCCTAGAAATTACCTTCTGGGAAGTTTTCTATTATTACTATTTAGTTAAACTTCCCTTTCTCCTTTCCGTCATTCTTTCAAATTTTATTTTTTAAAAATTTTCACTTATTTTGCCCACTCATTTAGACATTTAAACGTTTATTTTTTTTTTAAAATTTCATTCATCAATTCGATTATTTGTTGTTTTCATCAGATATTATTAAATATTATTGGTGAAAATTATTGATAAATTAAAGCTTAAATGATTGCGGAGCAGCTAACATTTCTGATCAAAGAAGATATGAGAATAGAAAATTTGAAATGCTTTACTGAATTAAACAAATATAAATTAGCACAAATCATAAATTATTCGATGCAAAACATTATCTTTTATCCAAAATGTTTCATTTTACCTTTAATTTTACATCAACAATTATGATAACAAATTTTCAATTCTAAATTTAATTTTCGATGTTTTTCACAAATATTTTTTCAACTAATTTTTTTTTTATTTTGTTATTTATTTTTAATTGTTTTATAAATGATTTAAATTTATTCAAATTTATTTGCAACAAATACATTAACAGAAATTTGAACGAACAATTGTTTAATATTTTAATTTTATACATTTCTTCAATTTAAATATTACAACAATTTTGCATTATTACTAGATGGAATGAATAAAAGAAATATGAAATATTTAATTATTAAATGGTATGAAATGAATTTGAGAAAGTAATGATAAATTATAATTTAAATGAAATGCATTTTGATGGATGGAATATATCAGTGATAGTGGAATAGTTGAAACTATATGCTACTGATAAATGATATTTTATCAATTACTCTCAAAATTTATGCAATTCATTTCATCTAAAATACACTCAATCAAAGTTAAATATCATTAATATACAAAATTGTAAACACAAATACATCTGTGCATATGATAAAATATATTCAATTTCAAATTTAAAAAATAAAATCAAAAAAGAAAACAAACAAACAAATATTATTTAACATAATTTATATTTTAATAAAATTGAAGTATTAACAAAAATTTATGCCTAAATTTTGGAGAATTCTAAACGAAAAATTTTATTATATAAATTCAAAACTGCAACACTTCAAATTTCTTACAAAACCCGTATTCTAATATTTGTTAATATCAACAAAAAAAAGAAAAAAAAATGATAAAAATTCAAACTTATAAAAAATTTTTATTTTAAAAAATTTTTGAAACTCGAAAATTTTTTAACACTTTTTTTCCTCGATTTCATTAATATTAATACAAATATGCAGATTTTAAATTTATTTAGTATTCAATAAGAAAAATTTACAAATCATATATTAGTTAGTATAGGTGGCGGTGGTGGCGGCATTTTTGATGAAATTCCGGAAATTGGTGATTCCGGTGGCGGTGTTAATGGTTCCGTTAATGATGTTGGTGAATTACTGAGATGTTGTGATAGTGTTAATGCTATCCTTGATTGTGATTGCTTTACATCTGTATATTTCTTCTGCAAACAATTTTCAAAATTATCATGAATAATAATTTTGAAAAAAAGAAAAAATAAAATTAAAAAAAATGAAATGAAAAAAAAAAAAGAAAAACAAAAAACAAAAATAAAATAAAACCTTTTGTCGTCGTTCCAACCGATTGTATGCAAACAAAATTAGCAAAGCAGTTGATAATGCAAAAATGATAAGAAACAAAAATAAAATTGCAATTTCCGAAAGTTGTGATAAGCCATAACGTGCACCAAATAAAAATGTGCAATCAGCAACATGATTAAGTCTGAAAAGTAAAAGTAAAACAAATTTTTTGAAAATTTTATTTAAAAATTTTTTAATAGAAAATAAAATTACAATAATTTGTAAATAAAAAAGTTGTGAAAATTTTTTTCAACTTTTATTACTATATAATTGAAATTTACGCAAAAAAAAAGTTAAAAATTAAAAGAATTATAAGTAAAATAATAAATTGAAAAAAACTACAATTTTTTTTAGATAAAATCACTTTTATTCTAATAAATATTTGTATAAAATTTCATAATTAATAAATCATTTTTACAAAGTATTAATTTGAAATAATTCTTTCTTTCCTCTAATTTAATATTACCTGTAAATAGGTATTCCATGAAAATGTTCAGGTGTTACGCAACTTGTCTGTTCATATCGTAACTCACGTCGATATGCGTAACGATCCAGCATATGACGCTTTAATTCTTCCACGTAACACGTACAGTCTAATGGATTACCGTGTAAGTCAACCTTAAATTTAGGACAGAAATAGAAAATAGAAGGATGAGAAAGGTAAAAAGATCAGTTCATAATTATTTATAATCATTAATTTATATAATCTCTTTTAAGACTTTAATTATTAGCAAGATAATTCATTAATAAATATTTACTCTTAAGAATTTAATTACCAGCAACGTTAATTAATCTTTATGCCTTAATTAATTGTTTTCTCAATACTTATTCCTTTCATATTTTCTTTTTTAATTAAATATCATTAATTACTATTTGCTGCCCAATAGTTGCTAAAGAAAAACAATTTATTTAAATTAATTTATTATCAAAATTATGCATATTATTAAACATAAGAATGTTTTGATCAATTAATCTTGTTGTTCTACTCAGAATTTACTATTTTGTGACTAAAAATTTTCATAAGATTTATCTAATGTGATATGAAATTTCGGAGAGAGAGAGAAAAAAATTGGAACAGAGTTAATTTTCTTAAAGTTTAGTTTTTTTTTTTTTTTTTCCTTTCTCCATTTAAGTATCTAAATTATTTGATAAGATATGTGTTTACGAAAATTTTTAATGAAATAAACAAATCCTAAACCTGCATTTTTCTGAAAATCAAATTTAATAATTATTAAAATTTCTAAATTGTAATTTTAATAAATTCTTATGTATCGAAAAATGAAGTGGATGAAAAAAAAAGAGT